TTTGTTACCGCTGCGGTGACAAGCACGAGGCCACTGACTGCAGGAAGGATGTGAAGTGTGCAAACTGCGATGGGAACCTTATGGCTTCTGCAAAATCCTGTCCTGTGTGGAAACGTGAATCAGTAATGATAAAAATCAAAACCGAACAGAATCTCTCGTACCACAAAGCAAAGAAGAGGGTTGTAGGTCTTACCACAACGACTTCTGCTTTATCCTTCTCTGCCGCTGTCTCTCGTCCTCCTGTGACCACTGTCTCTATCGACTGCCAGACTCATCTGACATGGGTCAAGTCTGTCCAGCCACTTCCTACTGCTTCACTCCAAAAACCAGCTGTGACACCTCCAAAACACAAAACTGTAAAAGGTGTTGAGTCTCAGACTACTCAACAAACACCTGAACCAGAACCAGAACCAGAAATTGCTAAACTTACAAAAAAAGCAGCAAAAACAACAGCCGCAAACACAAAATTTAGAGGTCGATAACTCCTTTGGTCCTCTGAAGATGATGGTAACGCCATCTCTACATGAAACCGATAGGAGTACTACAAAGTCTCTCTCACGTTTGAAAAAAAGGGTGACATTTCTCAAGTGGAAGCATCACCATGAATCCACAACAAATTATTCAATGGAATTGCAAAGGTCTTAAGAAGAACTTTAATGAAATACAACTTTTAATCCAAGAATTTAAACCATTGGCTTTTTTTCTCAAAGTAACATATCTAAAAAACACAGATCTATTTGATATCCGTCAGTACAATTCTTACCACTCGTTTTCCCCTCCTGGTGATTAGGCACAGGTGGTTCCTCTATCCTGGTGAAGCAGAGCATAATCCATAGCCCTGTTCCACTCAATACTACTCTACAAGCTGTTGCTGTCCGTGTTACTTTGAACATAGTGTTTACATTATGTTCATTGTATCTTCCGTCTTCCTAAACTAACCCCCAATCAGATCTTCAGACTTTGTACGATCAGGTCCCGAAGCGCTGTATCATCATGGGCGATTTAAACGGTCATAATCCCCTATTGGGGAGAACTGATACATATAATAATAAGGGAAAATTCCTTGAAGATTTTATTTCAAACAATGATTTATGCATCTTTAATGATGGTAATTACACATATCTGCATCCTGCCATTGGCACATACTCTACGCTAGATCTTTCATTGAAAGATTCCAATATTTTAAATGAATTTGAATGGTCGGTCCATGATGTCCTTTGTGGAAGTGACCATTTTCCAACAATTCTAGCAACCATTAATCCGTCTGACGAACCACCTTCAACAAGGTGGAACTTTACTCTCATGATACTGCAGCAGGAGCCGACAACATCCACTATCAGCTCCAGAAACACTTGCCCGATTCATGTTTGGAAACGTTACTTTGTATATTTGATGAAATACGGACAACCGGACATTTCCCTCCTTCGTGGCACAATGCTATTATTATTCCTTTTCCAAAGCCAGGACGGGATCATACAGATCAATCCAATTACCGTCCAATATGATTAACTAGCTGTGTTTGTAAAACCATGGTGTGCATGGTCAACAGTTGATTAGTCTGGTACCTACTCAGTGACATCCAGTGTGGTTTACGAAAGAACAGAAGTAACATTAACCACTTGGTGCGTTTAGAATAATTTATTAAGAATTCCATTGTCAACAAACAACATACTTTATCAATCTTTTTCGACCAAGAGAAGGCATATGATACAACGTGAAAACATGGTATTTTAAAAGATATGCATGAATTTGGATTGAGGGGCAGATTACCTCAGTTCATATCTCAATTTTTAAACAACAGACAATTTCAAGTACGTGTGGGCTCTACCTATCTGATCATTTCGACCAAGATCAGGGCGCCCCTCAAAGCAGCATAATATCAATCACACTTTTTAGCATCCAAAGTTATAGTCACTTTTTGTGGACGATTTCAACATTTCCTGTTGTGTTAAGAATATGAATACAATAGAAAGACAGCTTAACAAAATTCAAAAATGGGCGAACGAAAACGGCTTCAAATTCTCAAAACCCGAGAAAATCTGTATTCATTTCTATCGTCAATACAAACCGATTAAGGATCCAGATTTATTTTTAGAAGGTACTCAAATATATTAGGGCAAAGTGTCTGAAGGCTCTCGACTTGTTAAAAGTCGTTTCAAATTCCGAGTGGGGAGGGGATCAGACCACACTCCTTCACTTGTATAGATCGTTAATACGCTCCAAACTAGACTATAATTCCATTGTCTATGGTGGAGCTTGCAAAGGCAATTTAGAAAAATTAGACACAATACACCATAAGGGCTTAAGGCTCTGTCTTGGAGCATTTAGGACCTCTCTATGGACAGTGTGTTTGTGGAGGCTAATAAACCTTCACTCGAACAACGCCGCATTACGCCTTAACTGCAATATATCACTAAATTGCACTCAAATAATTCTAATCCAGCATACAATTGTGTTTTCCACCCTCAATATGAAAACCTGTTTCGAAATCTATCAAACCTGGTTCACCACATCACTGCAGTTAAAATATTATCATATCACCTTACCGTCTTCTGTCTTCTCCTCCCTGGCAGATGTAAAGCCAGAAGTAGACCTCACTCTAACCATCTAAAAAAGTCAGATACCAATCATTTGGTTTATCAACAATCATACAACCAATTACGCTCCAAATATAATTCTCACAGGTCCATTTTTACAGACGGGTCCAAGGGTGTTGGCAAAGTCGCAAAGTTGATAGTGCCACCGTCATTGGATCCAGAACTGTCTCCACAAGAATCCCAGATTCTAGTTCTATCTTTACTGCTGAGACCAAAGCAATCCTAACAGCTATATCAAGCAGCAAACCAATCTAAACACTTCATCATCTTCTCTGATTCGTTGTCTTGCCTTCAGGCACTTAAAAGTGTCTCATCATATCACCCTTTCCGACATTTTAGAAATCTGTAATGATTTTTTTACTGGCATTACTTTTACAACATCATCTTTTGCTGGTTACCAAATCATGTAGGCACAGCAGGTAACTCAAAAGCGATGCTGCAGCTTTTCTCCTCTACTGATCCCGTACAGCGATTTCAAAACAACCATCATGAGTTCTACTCGGGATCTAATGCAAAAGAGGTGGGACACCCAGGTCGGAAGCAATACACTTCACGAATAAAAAGCAACAATCGGTCATACCTACATGAGTTACTTAAATTACTTAATTGGTCTGCATAATACATTTTAAATATTTATGTGAATAATTAAATGTTTGTTTTTGTGATGCTATTATCAACTGACATTATTAAAGGCTCTGTCCAGAGGGTTGAAGTGGCGAAAAGTTATTGTCTTCCTGTGAGACACGTAATCCTTTCATAATCGATGTAACTATCATCAACCAGTGTTTTTAAGCCAACTCATTGATGAGTATTTTTTAATATTGACTAGTATTGTGCGCAACCACTATCAGCCAAAGTGATGACGTAAATCCTGCGGGGCATCATGCAGGATGCCGAGGTACTGTAAGTCCCCATGATGCCCATGATGCTGATGCGGCGTTAAATTTAAACTCACTCACTAGGTTCATATATAGACGCAAATGACGAAGGAGTTTGATATGTATGTACAAATCCTAATAAAGCAGTTATACATAAATATAGATAGCTACAGACATGACTCACATTTAAATCTAAGCCCAGTTCTAAAAAATAAAGGCATAAACTAATTTATCTTAATTTTCTATGAGAAATACTGAAAGGTTTATAACCTTGGCATGGAACACGATCCATGCCTTCCGTCAGTTTACAACAGCATAAAACAACTATTGGGTTATTCCAAGCTTCAATTCCATTTCAAGTCTGTTGCCATGGAGACATGATTTCAACATTAAGAAAATAAATCATAGATTATCGTAGAGATATATGTGATGTTTGTTGTTAACGTCACAATGAGCAATATTCCAGCTATATGACGGCGGTTTGCAAATAATCGAGTCTGGACCAGACAATCCAGTGATTGACATCATGAGCATTGATCCACGTAATTGGGATACGATGACATGTATCAATCTAGTCAGCCAACCTGACCACCCGATCCCGTTAGTCGCATCTCACGACAGCATAGTCGCCTTTTACGGCAGGCATCGGTTGCTGAAGACCTTATCTACCCCGTCTCTTGACGGGTCAGACATAGGTGCATACATGTTATATAATCGATGTGCATTCATAAGTCTTATAAGAAACAAGTGTAGAACATTACGAGAAAGTTAACCATTATTTCCACAATAACCAGGGGCGGCGGGGTGGGCCAGTGGTAAGAGCATTCACTCGTTAGAACACTGACCCTGGTTCGATTCCACACACACATGGGTAAAATATTTGAAGTAAATTTCTGCTGTCCCAAGGCGTGATTTTGCAGAAATGATGTTTCAAGACGCGTAAAACTACACACGCAGACGCATCAGTAAACAATGAAGCATGCTTCAACTATGTTCAGGAATTTTCTCCCTGGAGGCGAATGCAAGGAAACAAAGTCTCTCTCTCACTGTTGTTGCGAAATGCCCTAAAAAAATTCTGGAAGCGTCTGTAAAATTTGATGATTTTCCTAAATGTACTCATTGAATACAACATATTCATATCGAACAAAAACCTCACTTAATTACCCGTAGTCCAAAATTATCAACGCCAAAGGCTCTAAATACACAGAGTGTGGCACTGTTGATTGTGGCACTTTTCTCAGTGTGTGAGTGAGTATGGTTTTACGCCGCAGTATTCCAGCAATATCACGGAGGGGGGACACCAGAAATGGGCTTCACACGTTGTACCCATGTGGGGAATCGAACCCGGGTCTTCGACGTCACGAGCGAACGCTTTAACCACTAGGCTACCCCACCGACCCCTATTTTCAGAACTTCTCTAAATAATCACTTGTATCATATATCATTTCAAGTCATTATATTTACTGAGTTTATTTTTTTCAGTTTCATAACTATCATTAAAAACAAAACCGATTTGACATTCACATTGTGTTCATAATCACCATCATCAAGACAGTGCCTTGACAATCATTGCCACCATGACGACAGTGCCTTGACAATCATTGTCACCATCATGACAGTGCCTTGACAATCATTGCCACCATGACGACAGTGCCTTGACAATCATTGTCACCATCACGACAGTGCCTTGAAAATCATTGCCATCATCACGACAGTGCCTCGACAATCATTGTCACCACCACGACAGTGCCTTGACAATCATGGCTTTCTTCTCCTTTGTCATGTTGATGTCGCTGCCCACTACAAGTGTCATGCTGACAGTGAGGAGACGTTGGCTATACACCCCGAACATCGGCCACAGTGGCTGACTGGAGTCTACATTGTTTAACGTCGATATCACTTTATTCTCCTTCACATCAATGAAGACAATCTTCTTCCTGGCGTCATCATAGACAACACCGTAATGTAGTGTGTGTGATGCCCCTGCTGTGTTGGGGAGAGTGTCAGGCAGACACCGCACATACTCCCCCTCCGTCCATGTCCTCCTGCATATCCCACCGTGTGTAGTACAGTGGGCGACGGCCATGCTGTAGGAGCTGGAACGTCCACCTCTCCAATACCAGTCCATCTGCTCCTCCCTGCACACACCAACCTTCAGGATGTGCTCGTTCCTTGTGAGTGTTTTATCTAGGCTGATCCTTGATTCCATCTCCCAGTACTGGGGACTGCCAGCCCGGTGGAGGGGGCCAGTGCTACATGTGCCCCAGTAGTACTTCAGCATCCCCTCCCCTGCAGGTCTGGTGTCCGACTTCCTGTTGACCAGGTCTCCTTCTGTGTTGATGTGGACTTTGTCTAGATTGACACTGTCTTTGTCATACTTTAGGTGTAAACCTACAAAATATGAATGTAGTTTACATGCAAATAAAAAATGAGACAAATATAGTGACAGTTTCGCGAGATATAATGATATTTGCATGCTTGTAATTGACAGCTAAGTACGCTGTCCTGATATATAAATAGCGTATATAATCACATTGCAATGTAAGAAAATAAAACCTTATGTGTGTTATATTTGGATCTATGATTTGTGTTTAGTCCTTAGCGGGTAAAGTATATGTTTGTTTGTTGTTTAACGCCACACTCTGCAATATTCCAGATACATGACGGTGGTCTGTTAAAAGAAGTTGAGTCAGGACCAGACAATCCAGTGATTAGGGATTGCCTAAAAGTGGGGTCGGGCCGGGCCAGCGGGTAATACTAAAAATGGATTGCAGAATAATAAAACGAAACGTGCATATCTAGGCAGATCTCAATTGTCCAGACACGTATAGTTTTGCTCATTTAATTGAGTTTGAATCAAAATGCATCTTCAGCAATGTAGTAAACTGTTAATTATAGCTACATACCGAGAGTCCATACCGAAAAGTCAGTGTCTTGACTGTGTCTTTTCTTTGATGAGAAGGTTTCTCACCGACCTTAGCATGTAGGGGTGTAATGTCCTGGGCAGGAATTGACGGTGTTTTGACTACTCTTCTGTTATTAATTAACGTGTTTGGCATCCCTCATTAACCTTTACTAATTCATATTAAACCAACACAGGATGTCTGCTTCAAGTGGATATTCGCGAATGTCATAGGACTGACATGACACCTGTTAATAACTGTCAAAGTGCTTCTAAAATTACAACACATATTTTACATCTATAGACTAGTATTATATAAACCTATATAACTCTTTAGTGTCTCATATTGCGGTAGAAAACACGGTGCTCAAAGTGAAGCCCTTTTCCTTTACATTCTCTCTAACAGAAGTGTTTGCCTTGTGTTGGGTCCGACTTGGCCCCGGCGGTCAAAATCCACTTTAAACACACAGATGTATTTTCAAATGTGTTTACATCTATAGATTAGTGTTCTATCTACCTATACACCACTTTATAATGTCACGGTACATCGTATTTCAAGAAAACAAGGGGATCAAAGTGAAGCATATTTACTGTAATTGCTTAAGAAAATCTATGTTAGAAGTGTTCGATCCGACTTGGCCCAGGCGGTCAAAATCAACTTCAACGGCCTGACTTTTTGGCAATAAGCGTCACTGACGCCGCTTTATGTCCTCAGAAAAATTAATTTCATGTGAAATTAATACACACAAAAGGCCACATCTCTAGAAAAATAACTCGGTCTTTATAAGTATATCTTTGGACCCGACCGACAGGATCTGGGGTTCAGGCTCCCTGACTTGGTTGATGCATGTCATCGTATCTCAATTGTGTGGATCGATGCTCATGATGTCAATCAGTGGATTGTCTGATCCAGACTCGATTCTCTTAGAGACCGCCGTCAAATAGCTGGAATATTGTTGAGTGCAACGTTAAGCAACAAATAAGCTAACTCCAGGATTTTCTGAGAAAACATGTCTCCATAGCACACACACTGTGCACCAAGTAAAATAACCTGGATCAAGGGCCAGAAGTCTGTAAACAGATAATTTATCGGACCAATTTTCGAACTCAGTCTTGACAAGTATCCTTTAGATAAGGCTGCAATCTTTCATTCGAGTGACTTCAGAAGTTTCTGTGAAAACTTTTCCCCATTGCACTAAGTGTGCACTTATTTGAAAAAAAACACGGAGCTTGGGCCATGACTCTCTAGAAGTATTAACGAGGAGACATAACTTTACTGCACCAATTTGTAAACCCATCTGAGGTCATGACCAGTAAAATCAGTGTATAAATTTGATTTCTCTGTCTTAAATGGTTTTTCAGAAACTGTGTCCGCTTTGTGAAGCGGACGGACGGACGGTCGGACGGACGGGCTCCGTTCCAATATCCCTCACCCCACCTCGTGGCGAGGGATAATACATCATCCTATCGTCAATTTTCAGTAAAAACTGCATGGAGCAAGGATTGTATTTGCTGGTGAGACCCCAGGGTCTTCTATGAAAATATATGATTAACAGATTTTTTTTAAATACATATCTTTCTCATACCAGCTTTACCACTTCTGAAAACATTAATCCTTATTTTGTATTCGAACCCTCATATGACGACACAATGTCTAACTCTGCTTGTATTACTTGTCAACATATCAGAAACAACTTAAGTTTTCCAGAATATTATAAGACAAGATAAGATAAGACTTCATTATCCCAAGGGATGTTTTGCACAGTTGATTAGTACTAAATATGAAAAAAAGAAGAAAATATACGAAATTTCAATACTCGTATGTACATAAGAAAATAAGACACTTACTAATTTAACCACGGGGGAAAACGGGGAAAATTAAACGCTTCCTATGTGACGACAAGGATTGGTATTTTAAAATATATGTATTTATATCACAGCAATAGTAAACTTTAATAAAAGGGAAAATAACAGGAAAAGATTTGTGTCCAGCGAACTGTTCAAAAGTATTCAACATATAATCATTTAAAAGACTAATACTGGCTGGTGTGAATGATTTCCAGGCCCTGTTTGTTTTCAGTGGTATAATATTAAGCGGTCGCGAGCGAGGATTTGCAGTAAGAAATCAATGAAAGAATGTAAATAAAAGCGACAAACCCTTTCCATAATCATAAAAGCAGAGTCCATTGAACGATTTTAAGCAAGGTCTTAACTGAGGAACTTTTGAAATATTTGGGTGTGAGATTTGTCTACCCAAGTTAAAACGAAAATAGATATGGACTTATATTATACATGTTTCACTTGCCCCTACTTATAAGGTGCCTGTTTCACATTTTCCTTAAGGGAAGATATATTTCTAAATGTGTGTCAAAGGTGTTTGTGATGATGACACCAACGCCAGTTCCTCAATGATGTCTACTACGATAAATCCTTGATAACTTGTAACTATGCAGTGATTCAGTAGACTGAATGTGTGGGTATATATCCACTTAAGGGATGATGTAAACTGATCATAAAGATCAACAGAAAGTTGACATTGAATTTAATAAAATGTAAAATGAAAGCAAAGACCCAAGATGTTCGTGACATGGGCTGTGGCCAATAAGTGGATGGAAACATCAGCGGACACTAAGGTGGCATTGGGGCGACGTCATCAATACCGCGTATGACCTCCCCTGGCGAGGATGGACGCCTCAATGTCTCATTGATGGGGTCAAACGTCAGATGACGATTGCTGGAAGGTGTTCCAGGTTCTGTAAGTTGTTTGGTTGGGTCGTCTCCTCAGCTCTCTACCCAGATGATCCCACAAGTGCTCGATGGGAGAACGTGAGGGTTAAAGCAGTACGGGCACGGGGCAGTCGGGTAGCCTAGTGGTTAAAGGGTTCGCTCGTCACGCCGAAGACTCAGGTTCGATTCCCGACCTGGGTACAATACAATACAATTCGGTGTGTTTTTGGTTCATGTGATTGTGTCGGACACTTTCGGTCGACTTTTATACAGGTACCATACTGCACCCAAAAGCATGTTTACGTTTTTTTTGGTCGCAGCACGTGCATCGATGGCTATATGGTCTTGGTTCTTTGGAAGCGAGTGTGCTGCGTTTGGGGCAGTTGTTTACATCATGTTACAAACATTTGACTGCAATCATTTTTTTGGGTGAATCAACATTTTCTTATGTGAACTTTCTTTTGATCTTCAGTTTAGGTACTCACAATTCAGGACCATGCGTCTGTCTACTACACCTGTCTTCAGCAGATGAACACAGCCTTCAGCTGGGAAACCTGCAAGAAAATAACAGTACAGAGTTGTCCTTGTGTGTAGACTCAGGAGTACTTGGGTCACATACCGGGTCGCATACTGGGTCACATACCGTGTCATACTGGGTCACATACATCCTCCTGAGGCAAGGGAGTTATCGGACTATATAAGTCTAGTTTCGATCGAACCGAACTAGGTTGGAATTATGGAGTTATGTAATGGCTTGACTAACTATGTCTATGCATAGTCCAATCAAAATCGCGTAACAACATCAACATCCGGTTCATAAACAAAGCATGTGTACTGTCAACATGCCGTCAAAAGAAATATTCGCAATCGTATCATGTTTTTAACCCAGGTGCTCATGATCACGTGATTTGAAGCACTTCGCAAAGTAAGACCGTTTTTATTTCAAGAAAGATCTTGGATATCGATCAAATCGTCTTGACCTTGCGCCGCCATATTGTTGAAAGGAAATGTAGCGATACGAGAGTTTAAATCCGATTGGTCAATAGGAGGCCAGGGACACAAAGGGGATATTACCCGTAATAGCCGCTGGTGGCACTACGATTGAGCCCAGAAATTCCAGCCTAGTTCGGCAAGGATGGAAACTGGACTTTTTATATTTAGTTAACGCTCTTGCCTCGGGAAGATTGGTCACATACTACTGGGTCTTTTTATTTGGAGCGTAAAATATAACTGGTATATTTAGGCCATTGTCTTAAATGTACGTCCTATAGGAAGTAAGACCATTACCAGGAACAGACCACACACAGGAAGAGAAAACAGGACCAGTACCAGGAACAGACCACACACAGGAACAGAAAACAGGACCAGTAACAGGAACGGATCACAGACAGGAAATGAAAACAGGACCAGTACAAGGAACGGATCACAGACAGGAAGTGAAAACAAGACCAATACAAGGAACGGATCACAGACAGGAAGTGAAAACAGGACCAGTACCAGGAACAGACCACAGACAGGAAGTGAAAACGGGACCAGTATCAGGAACACACCACAGACAGGAAGTGAGAACAGGACGCGTATCAGGAACAGACCACAGACAGGAAGTGAAAACAGGACCAGTATCAGAAACACAACACAGACAGGAAGTGAAAACAGGACCATTATCTGGAACAGACCACAGACAGGAATTGAAAACAGGACCAGTACCAGGAACACACCAGAGACAGGAAGTGAAAACAGGACCAGTACCAGGAACACACCACAGACAGGAAATGAAAACGGGACCAGTACCAGGAACAGACAACAGACAGGAAGTGAAAACAGGACCAGAACAAGGAACACACCACAGACAGGAAGGGAAAACAGGACCAGTACCAGGAACAGACCACAGACAGGAAGGGAAAACAGGACCAGTACCAGGAACAGACCACAGACAGGAAGTGAAAACAGGACCAGTACCAGGAACACACCACAGTCAGGAAGTGAAAACAGGACCAGTACCAGGAACTGAATACAGACAGTGTACAAACCTATCAAGAATGTTTGTAGACGATTAATGGTTTCTAAGGCGACCTGGCAGGTTTGATGTTTCTCAGCCAGCATCTACAATCAGTAAATAGAAAAGCTCATAAAATAAATATAAACCAAATACGATTTTATTATTCATAGTAAGGATACATGCAAATAGTTGTGTTGACGTTGTAAACTCCAACTTGTGACAGGAACTTCAACAATATCAAGTCTGGACAAGTCAAGCAATAGGGTAATAGGTTTTAGATGTCTCTACGGGTTGCACATGTAAGTGGTATTTTAACCAATCCCTTCTCTATCTGACAATTCTGAAGTATCAACAACTATATAATCTCACCATTCCCTCCTTAATGAGTGTGACAAAATGATATACAAACCAATTTCATGTTGTTTGCTTCGGCATTCAGCTTGTCTGTTAGCTGCTGAAGTTGTTCAGTTCTTTCATTGTGTGAAGCAATATTTGACTCCAGCTTTGCAAGCTCCTGAAAGGTAAAATATATTTTACCTTTGGTTCTGAGTTAGAGGCTGTACATGAACTCTTATTAATCAAACAGTATCAATATATTCTTTCAATCATATCATTATTGTGTGACCAAGATACATCAGTTGACTGGACCTGCACAGTCCTTGTGGTACTACTTTGATCAGTTCAGTTGTTCTGATATTGACTTCTTAGATATTTAGACAAGATGAATGAAATATATAACAATTGATGGGATGAATGACTGAGGGCCTACGTGTATCCCTTTATAATTAGACATACCATTTCGTGTTTCTGTTCCAGGTCCGCCAAATAGTCATCATCAGTTTGTGTTTGCTTGTCTGTAATTGTAGAAGCAAATTGTGAATGCCGAGTGACAGAACAATGCTTTAATTAAAATAACACCACGAAACACATGAATTAAGTTCAGCAGAATTTTGGCACATATCATCAATAAAGCACAATAACTGTTTTAATATGCATACCCTCAGGTGTTCCCCCTTCTGAATCTTCTTTCAAGGTAGTGATGTTACCAAATCCAGACAGATCTGATTTCAGTTTGGACAAGCCATTGGTATTGAAGACAGCTTCAGGTACATCATGTGTTCCAGGTGAAGCAGTTTCTAGACAGGTCCGAGTCATCCCCTCAACAGTGGTCTCCAGCTGCAGGAGGACTGATGTTGAAGCATAGAGAAGACATTTCCGGATGTAACCTGAAATGTTGGTGCATCTTGCATGATGCTCTTCGCATGAGGTTTCAAGAGCATGAAGAGTTGCCTTGGTTTCCCTCGTTTGACTTTCAAGATACATCAGGAGTTCCTTCTCCCTCTGGTCAAGGTGTGATCTTAAAGACCGGAAAGTATGTTCTATTGTCTTCCTCAATGTGTCCTGTGTCCTGTTGGTCAACTGTGTTTCTTGTCTGATACTCTGAAGGTGTGTTTGCTGACGAGACAGTAACGCCGACAGATCTTTCCTGTGTTGTTCAATCCGCTGTGTAACTCCTTCAGCAGCTTCATCCAGGTAAACAACCTCGTGATCCGCGTGCTCTTCTCTCCTGCATTGGCAACAGATACACATGTAGCAGCTTTTGTCAAACAAATCAAGTGGATACCGTTCGTGAATATTGCAATTGGTTTCATTTTCAAGGTTTTTGGGGGTTATATCCCCAAAGTTGTGCACAGCATGATTTCTGGAAAGTTTGACGCTGCTGTGCATATTCTGGCAGTATTCACAGAGGAGCTCTTCACACTCCTGACACCAACACACAGCCTGGTTCCCGTCATCTTCATGTGTACAGAGGAGCTCTGTGGGGCGATGTTTGATGGTCAGGTAGAATATTTCCTTCTGTCTGACTGCATCCTTCTGGATAATTGTTTCTGTGAGGTTGACCTCCCTCTGACATGTAGAACATGATATCACACCAGCAGCCGCAGATTTCACACACTTCTCACACACAGCGTGTAGACAGGGCAGTAAGTAGGGGACTGGACCTTTCAGTGTAAACTCCTGATGACAGACGGAACACTTCGGGTAGGTGTCCATTCTGAAAGACACAAAACAATACTGACATACACATGTCAATTGTATGTGTGTAAGATGCATAACCATGCGACGTTTGTTTAGTTAAGCATCCAATTGAGTGTCTCTGAATATGTAGTATTTTTATCGAATTGGCTAAAAACATGTTTTTTTCTGAGACCATCTGTGCCATACAAGGAACAATATTTAAATTATGTGGCCACGTTGATCTGGAAGGCAAGCATGTTGGTTCCGTTGAGCTTATTCATCCTCACTCTAGTAGGATCGTTTCTCAATACTATATAGACACCTTTATTATTGATGAAAACACAAACTGTTGCCTGAAAACATGTACTTTTTAAATTTCTCCTATCACAATCAACCCAAATCATATTAATCCTATGTCACACATAATTAGGGGCACGGGTGGCCGCGATTCGTTGTGGAAAGTTGCGTCCTTTCGGCATGCCAGAAACCTATGATTGTGGGTTCGAATCCCTGTTCGTGCGGATTATGTTTCAAGGTTTGTCAGCACCATACCCGTGCTCGTTGGTTTCACCGTAGAGGTAAACGTCTAAGACCTCCATCACTTCGGGTTTTTCTCCCACATTAAGCAGGCATGCCGCGATATAACTTGAATACTGTTAAAAGCGGCGTTAAACCAAACTCACTCACTTACAAATAATTAAGGCCAGTTAAAATACATATCGTTTTTCAAAACAAACAGGAAGGGATTTTAAGATTGTATTTTTTATTAGCTTACAAATATAAAACAAATATGAACTTGATTGATAAATACTTTAGTTATAATGCTTGGGTAAACAGTGCGAACATGTTTCAAATTTGAGTTTAGAAAGGTTCTCCTTAACAGTGATTAGAAAATAAGGTTTACATACTAGTGGGGGGTCAATAAAAATAATCTCTTTTTGACGTCTTATCTACACTGGGATGGTGAGGTGGTCTTGTGGTTTAAGCGTTCGCTTATGACGTTGGGTTCATGACCCGGGTTCGATTTCCAACATGGATACACTGTGTGAAGTCCACTCATCTACACAATATTGATGACAACGACACATAGGACAAATGTTTTAATGTAGAACACAACCCATTTGATCTGTGTCGAGTGTAGCATTAAACCCACATAATGATCATGTGTCCATGGAACAATTTTGTATACTAAATGGTTACCCCTGACTACATACTCGACGATTTAACACGTACATTAAATACAAATATCCACAAAATAAAACAACCAAAATCCAAATACATGAAACATCGCACTATTTTATGCAGCATATTTTACATATTCTTGATCTACTGCTTAATAAGCACTTTTTCACCTTAAGGAATCCATTCCTGCACACAAGCCTACATGGTGTCCAGAAACATTTCCCATACATGTACATTCAGATACAACGTACAACCAATAATCCAGGTGTTGTGAAATGGTTGCTCGGCGATTTAACAACTACATTTAAATTACACTACAAATATCCACAAAATCAAACACCGAAATCCAAATACATCAAACATTGTAGTATATTACGCGGCATATTTTACATATTCTTGATCTACTGCTCAATGAGCACCTATTCACCCATTCACCTTAAGGAACCCAACGCACACATCCCAGAAACATGTACTCCTGATTAAGCAGCGCTAATCCTTTAAGCATGCATTTGTGATCACAATAATAAAGTCATATTATATTATCGTCATCGCAGGATTTTGTACACTATATTCCAAAATGTAGAACCTAATATTAGGACCGCCCCGCCCCGGGGGCGGAAGGTAGGGTTCTATTCCCGGTCTTGCCATACGTTAAGAGATGGTACTTGTTATTACCCTGCCTGGCGCTCGGCATTAAGGGACCAAATCAATTAGTCGGCTCAGAGTCAGTATACTCCATGTGGGGTATTCACATTAAACTGCGGCATGGTCTCTAAGTTGGCTAGGACTATTAAATCCGCATTTGTTCGGATCAGAACAAGCACCCCTCCACAACCCACTCCCTCCCCCACCCCCCACCCTCCACACACAAGTCGTTATATAAGTGCAGTCATCTTGAACGCGACGTTTAACCTCGGCTCACCTCTAATATCAACAAAATAATTCGACTTACTTTATGTACTACAAGATATACAACGACAATCTTTGCAACACACAAGCCAAATTGCACACAGGCAGTAACCCCTACCAGTTCACTATAACTGTACTTTCAGCACACACACACACACACACACACACACACACACACACACACACACACACACACACACACACGTCGTTGGTTAATGCATGTCATCGTATCCCAATTGCGTGGATCGATGCATAGGGTGTCAATCACTGGATTGTCTGGTCCAGACTTGATTATTTACAGACCAAGTCATAACACTGGAATATTGCTGAATGCGGCGTTAAACAACAAACCAACAAAGAAACCCAATAACAAAGTGACAAAAAGACCCAAGACTCGAATATTTACAGACCACCGTCATATAGCTGGAATACTGCTGAGTGCGGCGTTAAACACCAAGCAGAAAAACACAAAAACAATCAAACAAACTTGTTGGTGTGGTATGAGCAAGTACATGTCTGCACGTACTCTACCTCTGTTACACACGGCGACACGACCGAACGTTTTCTATACACTACTGACAGTAAAGGGGTTTCATGGCTTGTATGAATGAAGCCCGACCTCGTTGTAAAACGAAAATAGCAATGTGTGTCACTAATATCATATAAATAACTTGTAGAATAAAGGTACAGGTCAAGAGAGAGAGAGAGAGAGAGAGAGAGAGAGAGAGAGAGAGAGAGAGAGTTTCTTAAAATTGGTCCGACCCGGGAGCGAGTTTAGTATTTTATTTATTACTTGCCGCTTATATCTTTTCTTTTTACAAAAAAAATCACGGACGTTTGTGAATAGGCATACATCTTCGCGTTCCAAATCATATTGTTTGTTTGATGTTTAACGCCGCACCCAGCAATATGCCAGCTATATGACGGCGTTCTGTAAATAATCGAGTCTGGACCAGGCAATTCGGCAATTGACATCATGAGATCGATACACGCAATAGGGATATGGTGACATGCATCAACCAAGTCAGCGATCCTGACCACCCGATCTTGTTAGTCGCCTCTTACCGCAAGCATGGGTTGCTGAATACCTATTCAACCCCGGATCTTCATGGGTCCAAAACTATTGCTTAAAGCCGCATTAGCAGGATTGCAGCTATTCGCAGCTACACCGTCAGTTATAGAAATAATCACAGGCCAGTGAGTTTCTCCATGAAAAATATTAAACATGGCTGTTGAAGCAAAATTCTCACAAACCAATTTGAAGCATTTGGCTAAAATGAGCTTGTCCGATGTTTTACACGACACCATATTCGCTGCTTTAGACCATATAAAATGAAGTGATACATTTTCATCCGCTCCCGCCTGGCGACGAAACATCCCGCCTTACATTATTTTGTTGCATCCAAGTTAATATAATAATAATTTCTCTAATATGTGTGTTTCTACTTCCTTTATTTGATGAAATACTACACACCCTTCGACAGTAATTGTACACAGATGCCCTTATTACACATGTAGTTGGTGGGGTGGGGTCGGGTGGGGTGGAATGAAATTGTGTGGGATGGTGTGGGATGGTATAGTGTGGGTTGGGTTGATTGAAAATGAGTGGCGAGTCGAGTGGAATTGGGTGGGGTTTGCACCCCCTGCACCCTCTCTAGATTCGCCAGTGTATAAACTGATCTGCTAAATAGACCGCACATGTATGCCACGGAATACGACTCAGAGTAAAGTGCATGTAGTACTCAGTAACGAACTATTTCTGAGGTACACCGACCTGACTTATCGCAACCCCTCTACCAGGATTTACGACAGTTTTGTCAACGACGCTATCTACCGTACTCTTTCAGCTAATCTTTCTCCTTATCCGTTAGTCAGGAAAAGAGTGACAATGATTCGCGACTGTATCATTGGGGGACATGAGGGTAGGTTGGTGTGACTTTGTTTGCTTACATGTTTACAGCACCAGTCGTATAGAACAAAGAACACAATGTGCACCAACAACCTGTTGTTTCTAGGCTTTGTGGTTTGAATCATTTCAGGTAACTACGGTAATCTGTGAACCAATCTAAGTGAGTGAGTTAATATTTAACGTCACCTCGGCAATATTTCAGCCATATCGTGACGAGAATTAATACATTATTAACAAATAAGTATATATACTTTATAAAAAAAAACGTCAGCAAAGGACAGTACAATAACTAGAATATCACATAGTGTATTAAAACTAGTTGAGGAACATATAAAAGCAGAAAGAATTAACAACACAATATAAAAATGGGCTAGAGATCGTCAGTAACTAAAGGGAGAACACCATACCAGGGACCATGGGGACTTACAGTGCCTTTGCTTCCTGCATGGACCCTGGCTGGATTTATATCATTCCTTCAGTCACTGGCGATAGTTTACCAGTTAAGCCTTAGATTAAAATGACGTGAACCAATCTAAACACAAAGACATATACAAAGGTACAGCACACGTACAATACAGGTACAACACAGGTACAACACAGGTACAACACAGGTACAACACACGTACAAAAAACGTACAACACACGTACAACACAGGTACAGCACAGGTACAGCACACGTACAACACACGTACAACAAACGTACAACACAGGTACAACACAGGTACAGCACACCCACAACACAGGTACAACACAGGTACAGCACACCTACAACACAGGTACAACACACCTACAACACAATAAAACACACCTACAACACAGGTACAACACAGGTACAGCACACCCACAACACAGGTACAACGCAGGTACAACACAGGTACAACAAACGTACAACACACCAACAACACACGTACAACACACGTACAACACACGTACAACACACGTACAACACAGGTACAACACACCCACAACACAGGTACAACACAGCTACAGCACACCTACAACACAGGTACAACACACCTACAACACACGTAAACCACACCTACAACACAGGTACAGCACACCTACAACACAGGTACAGCACACCTACAACACAGGTACAACGCAGGTACAACACAGGTACAACAAACGTACAACACACCAACAACACACGTACAACACACGTACAACACACGTACAACACACCCACAACACAGGTACAACACGGCTACAGCACACCTACAACACACGTGCAACACAGGCACAGCACACGTATAACACACGTACAACACACGTACAACACACATTACAACAAACAAACACAATAACGAAGTGACTTAAAATACCTTACTCTTACCTCACACAGAATGTTCCTTCTGTATGTGTTTGTCGTCTAAATACAACCAGTATCGGTGTAGCGTTAGCAACTACATGTTTTCTACCACTATCAAACACGGCGACACGATATTTTACTGTACACTGCTGACGGTAAAGGTGTTTTATGACTTGTTTCAATGAAGCCCGACCTCGTTGTAAAACGAAACTAGGTATGTGTGGCAGTCAGCTAACACTAATATCATGTCTATACCTTGTAGAATAAAGGTATAGGTACAACCTTCAGCATCCTGGTATTATTTAGACATATACATGTACGTTTTGACCTGAATATCAAACAGTTTTCTGTATGTAGAAGGACAGAGAGAGTGAGAGAGACGAGAGACAACACACCCACCTGGACTGTAGACTTCCTTCACTGTTGACACGCAGGTCACTTCCGGGCGATGACGTAGGGAAACTCACTTATTACAAGCGTGTTAGAACTTATAGAAATATTTACGTTCACAATAATAATGACAGTGTCCATTTGTTTTACTTGTGATTACTGTGCATGTATTAACGTGGGGAAAATGTACAAAGTTTACAAATGTTTTATCACGTTACACGCCAATAATTAAGGATTGGAAATTGTGAAATAAATATAGAATACTAGACGAGCTCCTGTGTAATACCATTTTTTTCGTTCGTCAGATACCAGACCTATTCACGGTTTTCATAAAATTGGTCTCACACAGGAGCGATTTTAATATTTTATTTATTACTTGCGCTTATATCTTTTTAAAAAAATAATTTCAAGGTCATTTGTGAATAGGCAGACATCTTTCGCGTTCTAAATCATATCGTTTGTTTGTTGTGTAATGCCACACTCAGCAATATTTCAGCGATATGACGGCCGTCTGTAAATAATCTAGTCTGGACCAGACAATCCAGTGATTGACATCATGAACATCGATCCACGCAATTGGGACATACTGATATGCATCAACCAAGTCAGCGAGCTTGACCACCGGATCCCGTTAGTCGCCTCTTACAACAAGCATAGTCGCCTTTTACGTCAAGCATTGGTTGCTGAAGACCTATTCTAACCCGGATCTTCACGGGTCCAAAACCATTGCTTAAAACTGTATCAGCAGTATTGCAGCTATTTGCGGCTACACCGTCAGTTAAAGAAATAATCGCATGCCAGTGAGTTTCTCCATGAATAATATAATACACGGCTAGCATATTCATTGGAGCAAAATTAATATTTGGCTAAAATGAGCTAATCCAATGTTTCACATCCGCTCCCGCCTGACAACAAAACATCCTGCCTTACATTAGTTAGTTGCCTCCAAGTTCATAGAAATAGAGGTTATCACGCGAGTGTGTTTGGGGACGGTAAATATCCTGCATTAGGAATAAATATTGTATTAAGGGAGCCTCGCTATCCCTCTCTCACAAACATTACCGAAACATTGCGAGTTTTCCTGGAATGCGCGCATTAATATTTATTACGTCACAGGGTAAGTGATGTGTCAGTCGGACAGTGACAGTAGCCAATATAGTTCCAACTGAAATCTGTTTCTTATACAGTGGCGAAGCAACATATACGCAAAACCACAGTTGTTTTTAATTGCCTTTCGCGGCAATCCATCGGTCTGTCCGCTAGAGTAACTGCCCTTTGTCAAAGGGAAGCTACTCTAACCCTAGTCTATGAGACGTCACGGGCACGGTCAGACGTTGTTGACAGTCGGTCTGTCCTGTCATAAGGTTAAGAAGTGTAGTCAGATGTACACACAGCGACAAAACCAAACAAGGTAACAATTCAAACATATTTCGGCCAAATCGAACTATTTTAATTTGTGGAGAAGGTTTCAAGTCGCAGAGGTCTACAAGCACAGAAAATCCTACTGATCCCGCTTGGCTAGGCCTCGCGCCCTCGCAAAATTGTTTCGAAATTTATACCTCCAAAGTAGCCAAAACTTATAAAATGCCTTAGCTACGTCACAGTTAGACACTGATTTTCAGTATATTGGACTGTTCTTTTGATAATGATAGCAATTATCCCTGTTGTTTATCCAGAATCCCGATGGTTAATTTTGACTCGTTCGCCGAATGACGAGGACGACGCCATGTTTGTTTATAATCAGTGAAAGTAGTCCTACTTGACCTTTGATATTTGCATCTCTATCCGCATATGACCCCAACGGATATCGTTTTTATCCGTTGGCTTTATCCTGCCGAGAAACCTGCCCATTATATGATAATTAGCAATATCGCTAATATGTGTGGTCCTACTTTCTTTACTTGATGAAATACTCCACACACGTAGACCTACTGAACAGGCATGATGCATGTGAATTGCACCCTTCGACAGTAGTTGTACACAGATGCCTTCAATATATAGTTATTTTAGAAAAGAATAGAATGTAAGCAATAAAACGCATCCCCCAAAAATCATTCAAACTGTAACTACTAATTTATTGCGTTGTAATTTATTGACATCCGCATGCTAGGCAGGCTTATACTGGAAATGTACACCAACTCACAACCTGAGGCATGTGCATGACTCGGAATAACTGAGTGAGTTTGGCATTGTGTGTTTGAGAAACATGGCAACCTTCGTTTTTGGCGTATATGTGCAGGTCTTTTGAAGCACTTTGCAGTGAAATGGGGTGGGGTGGGGTGGGGTGGAATGAAATGGAGTGGTGTGGTGTGTGGTGGGGTGGGGTGGAGTGAAATGGGGTGGTGTGGGATGAGGTGGGGTGGGGGGAAGTCGAGTGGGATGGGGTTGGGTGTGCACCCCCTGCACCCTCTCTAGATTCGCCAGTGTATAAAACTAACCAGCTAAATAGACCGCACACATATGTCACGGAATGCGCTTCAGAATAAAGTGCATGTAATACTCAGTAAATAAACTATTTCTGAGGTACACCGACCTGACTTATCGCAACCCCTCTACAAGGAAGTACGACAGTTTTGTCAACAACGCTATCTACCGTACTCTTTCAGTTAATCTTTTGTCTTTTCCGTTAGTCGGGAAAAGAGTGACAACAATTCGCGACTCCCTGCATCATTGGGGGACATGAGGGTAGGTTGGTGTGACTTATTTTGCTTACATGTTTACAGCACCAGTCCTAGTTTCACCAAAGAACACAATCTGCACCAACAACCTGTTGTTTCTGGGCTTTGTTGGTTGAATCATTTCAGGTAACTACGGTAATCTGTGAACCAACCTGACCACAGACACATACACAGGTAGGTACAGGCAGGTACAACACAGGTACAACACAGTTACAACACAGTTACAACACAGTTACAACATAGGTACAACACAGGTACAACATGTACAACACAAGTACAACACGTACAACACACGTACAACGCAGGTACAACCCACGTACAACACAGGTACATGTACATCACAGGTACAACACAGGTACAACACAGGTACAACACAGGTACAACACAAGTACAACGCAGGTACAACACAGGCACATGTACAAAACTCGTACAACACACGTACAACGCAGATATAACGCAGGTACAACGCAGGTACAACACAGATATAACACGGGTACAACGCAGGTAGAATGCAGGTCAAGACAGGTACAACACAGATACAACACAGGTACAAGACAGGTACAACGCAGGTACAACACAGATATAACGCAGGTACAACGCAGGTACAACATAGGTACAACACAGGTACAACGCAGGTACAATACAGGTAGAATGCAGGTCAACACAGGTACAACACAGATACAACACAGGTACAAAACAGGTACAAAGCAGGTACTACGCAGGTACAACACAGGTAGAATGCAGGTCAACACAGGTACAACACAATGTTCAAGGCTTGAGTTGGATTCATTTCGTAATTCATTCTCTTTGGTCTTGGAGACACTAAAATACAGTAGGGAAATAGTGAGTGAAATATGACTGTAGATGTGTGCACAGGCAACTCGGGGCAATAGGAGACTTACATTGTCGTGTGTAAGTGCTTTTAGTTCAGAACGGCATCCGATCTGTCCGAAAATAGCTTACTACTGTTATATGGCAATGTCATTTGTTGTTAAACATTGTTTCTGCAGAGATTCAGAAGAAGTTCATAGCATTGTGTTTTGAGAATAACCAGTTGTCAAAAGTGTAGTACTATTTGATGTAAGCAGGAGTATGGAAGTTACTATATTTAAATGTTAGTGTCTGCAAGTGTTTGTTTGCTGTTTAACAACACAATCAGCAATATTCCAGCAAAATGACGGCGATCTGTAACTACTCGAGTCTGGACCGAACAATCTAGTGATTGACATTTTTAAAATCCTTATCCTGACGCCTCTCTGTTTTATCCCGCGGAAGTAGGTTTTAAATATCAGAAACATCCTCGGACATGCTTTATCCTGCACATGGAGTGTAATTATTCACCTATATTCTAAATAAATCTAACTTTGATCAAAGTGATTCTATCTATTTCCTGTATTTCTTCAGCCCGACTTGCAACAAGAGTAAGAAGTATGTGCCAGTAGCTGATCCCACAAAGTCAGTTAAGGTGTGAACGTGCACTCTTGTTTAACGTGGAAACAACGCCACCATCTCTACTGCAGCACATGAAGCTATTATAAGTTTACTTTTTGTTTGATTAGTCGTTACTGAATAGCACTAAATTAGCTGGTCCACGGAGGAGGCCAAGTCGTCTAAAGCTCTGCAATTCTCTGTGTAGAGTAGCACCTTGTTACCAATGGTAGTGGGTTCGAATCCCATCTTTTGCTGCAGTTATGATGCTTGGTTTGTCAGCGCACCCCGTACTCGTGAGTTTCACCAAAGTAGTAAACATAAGTCCTGCATTACTTTTGGCTTTTCTCCAAATATACAGCTGAACCGCCATGATATAACTGATATACTGCTCAAAGTCGCCTGACACAAACTCACTCACACAATACCAGGTATGCTGGTTACTTCACTTAATTGTCTCCCTTTGTCCACAGCATCCCTTCCTAAGATCTCCTCCACGACATGGCATGACGTCATGTTGGACAGTTGCGGCTCTGACGTCGACCTCCTCTTGCGCGAAGCAGATGACTACACTGGGGTTGAGACGGAATGCAGTGTTGTTACATGATAGTGAGTGAGTGAGTATGGTTTTACGCCGCTTTCAGCAATATTCTAGCAATATCACGGCGGGGGGACACCAGAAATGGGCTTCGGACATTGTATCCATGTCTGGAATCGAACCCGGGTTTTCGGCGTGGCGAGCGAACGCTTTAACCATTAGACTACCCGACCGCCCATGGTACATGCTCGTTTGTGTTTACCTGAATAGAACGGTAGCATCCCAATTGTAGCCTTAATACTACTAGTAATAAAGATTCAAACATTT